TCAGCCTGGATTATCATTGAAATCCTTCTTACAGATGCTACAAACCACTTAGAGCCTATAGTGAGATAAGAGGTCTAGGGAGGGAAACTCTAGTGCACTGCTTCTCAGAATATAGTCTACCCAGGGGCTGGCTGTGCACCAGTTGTTTATCACTGGTCCATGGTGAGAGATGGGATTTGCTTCAGCATGTAATTGTTGCATGTAAATAAGCTTGCTATTTACTTGAGCTGACTTTAACAAACCTTAGCAAGACATTGCATTGCTTTGCATTGCTTAACATCCTGATTTTGCAAACTCCTTTTTCTTTTTTTTTGTTGCAGATCATATTTAGTATCACTGACATCGAGAACATTTAAACTTTAGGTAGAGGGAAGTGGTAGTCAAAGAGACAGAAGGTACAGTGTGAGTGGTAGAGTGAAGAACAGAAGAATGGGAAGTCCAATTCTAATGGGTTCCTGGTTTAAATGAGCAGGTGGCCAGCACAGCCACAGAGAGGTCAGATAAGATTGAAGACTAAAAGTTATTGGATTTGGCCATTTTAGGGTCATCGGTGATGTTTTAGGAGCTTTGCCTCCTGCTTGCTCTTTTACTTTCTTCTCTCTCATCTTTATCCACCAATCTACCTTCTAAATACTTTTCAAACCTATACTTTCACCATATATACCAAAGACCTCTTTGGCTCTAAAATACTTTTGAATTCAGTCTTCCTTTTTCCTTATCTCTTGGGTGATCTGAAGTTACTGATCCCTCTTTCCTTCCTATCATATTCCTTCATCTATAATGCACTGATCTTGGTATTCCTTTTCACACCCCACCCACCGTTCTGTGCCCATTTCTTCTACACATACTGCATGTTTTTAATGACATCCATTTGTTCCACTACATGTGTGCATGCTAAGTTTCTTCAGTCATATCCAACTCTTTGAGACCATATTGACCATAGATAGCCCTCCAGGCTCCTCTGTTCATGGGATTCTCCAGGCAAGAATATTGGAGTGGATTGCCATGTCCTCCTCAAGGGGATCTTCCTGACCCAGGGATTGAACTAGCATCTCTTATGTATTTTATGTCTTCTGCATTGGCAGGAGGATTCTTTACCTCTCAACCACTATATGTGGTGTCAATTTCCAAATCTAAACTCAACCCACCTGTCTTTTCTGAGCTTCAGAGCCATCAGCCTATCAGACATCTTACTCAAATGCCACAGACTCTTCAATATGTCCAAAGCTGGACCCAAATTGTCACCTACATTTTTCTTTCCATCCCTCCCTCCTAAGCCCCATGCTCATACTGCAATCTGCCTAGCTGCCAACCACTAGTGTGAGCATCATCCTCACCCCCTTTTTTATCCCATTAGTGATTGATTTCACTACCAAATACCTCTTTGAATCTGTAACTCTCCCTTATCCCCCTCTCCCTTATCCCTGCTCCCTGCATCTGGGCCATCAGCATCCATCACCTTGATGACTGAGTTATCCTCTTGTGAGGATCTCTCTCCCTTTCTCAGTCTTCTTTTATCTCCAGGACCCTCACTACACTAGAGCTAGAGTCATCGATCTAAAAAAATCGAAGTTTGATGACATCACCTCCTTGTTGAATTCTTTGCCTGCCACTCCAGTCTTATCTCTGTGTTCTGTAGAGTCAGGTCACATTGATTGTTTTTCAGTTCTTCAGTATGTTCTCTCTCTCTCTGTTTTAAATAATTTTATTTATGACTATGCTGGATTCACTATGCTTCCTCGCTGTTCAGGCTTTTCTCTCGTTGTGGAGGGTGGGGGCTACTCTAGTTGCAGTGTGTGTGCCTCTCATCATGGTGGCTTCTCTTTTTGCGGAACACAGGCTTGAGAGTTCATGGGCTCAGTAGTTTTAACACATGAACTTAGTCGTTGTGGCTCCTGGGCTCTGGAGCACAGATTCAACAGTTGTGGTACGTGGGCTTAGTTGCCCCATAGCATGTGGGATCTTCCCAGACCAGGGATGGAACCCACGTCTCCTGCATTGGCAAGCGGATTCTCAACTACTAGACCACCAGGGAAGTCCCAACATGCTCTCTCTCTCTGCACCTTCAAACATGATCTGTGACTATTTGGAGCTATTATATACCCTCTTCATTGGCAAATTTGACTTCCATCATCAGAAAACTTCTGTAACCCTGCATATCTGAATTACATGGAGTTCCTCTGTGGTCACCCGGCAGTCTACTTTTCCCATTTCATTACCTTTTCCATATTGTTCGGTAATCTCTCATTTTTATTCATGAATCAGTGCCCTCCTCTGAATGTCAAGCTCCAAGAAGGCAGGAATCATACCTGGTTGGTAACAATATTATACTTGAAGCTCCTAGTACAGTGCTTGAAGGGTGTGAACATTCAGTCAGTGTTGGTTAAATGAAATGAATGCTCTTCTGAATGTTTCCACATCCATTATCTCAGTGGGGGTAAAGTGGAACAATTTAGAGAGGATTTTAATGAAACATAAGATGGTGGACTAGAAGATTAAATTATTTGTTGAGTTGTTTTGCCCCAGTAGGAGGAAGGAGAACTGAGAGACAGGAAAGCTGGTTAGGAGAGTAGAAGCATTTCATACTGCCTTGTAAAACAAAGAGGAAGAATTATTAAAAAAAAATAGCTTGCATTATTCAGATTTCATATTCCTTCTAATAAGTTGAGGCCTATAAGGAGGGGTATGTGTGTGTGTGTTTTAATATTTTAAAACGTCAGATTGTTCATCTCTTAGGGTTTATTTTCTTCACGTGGAAAAACTACATAACATGATGTAAAAATGTTTTTGTAAACTTTGATCTTTCGGTTTGTTTTCTTTGGAGGGAGGTTTACAGAAGTAAGTAATTGATTTCATTCTAGCTTTTCTATTTTCAAACAAATTGAGACAACATGTATTTTTAAAGATTTAACTGAGTTTTTAAAAAAAGGATGAAGAAGTAAACACCAAGAAGTAAAGGAATAGGCGGTCAATTGGAGGAAATCTGGGTTCAGAAAACTTAGGTAAGAGAAATTACTTTGAGGACAAAATGATTTCTTTTTGGAAGTCGAGGTGTAAAACACATGGTAAGACACATTATTCGGTGTCTTCAGCTGCTTCACAGAGATCAACTTCCAGAGCTAGAGAGCTCATTGCCATCTAAGATAGACCTTACGACAAGTGCTTGACATCCAGGGCAAATTAGATGTCAACTATGCCAGAGACAAAGTAAATATGCCATTTTGAAACTATTAAAAGAGATTGGTGTGTGTTCTGTATAGGGTAGTGGCTATTCAGTTTCTGTATGGAGATGGAGATTGAAGAATATTTAAAGAAAAAAGAGATCAAGATGTTTTCTTTAAAACACAACTTTGTATCTAATGAACTCTGTAAAAAATAAATTTGTGCGTAGTTCCTAATTCTCTCTAAAACATGGAAGAGAGAAGCTTGGTTTGGAACATCCTGAGAATTTGCCACAAACATCTAAAAGAATCTGCAGGAAAAGAATCTAATATAGATTTTAGAGAATACTTATCATTGACCATGCAGCACTGTATTCTACCAGATGAGTTAGCTCAGAAATACATCTTGATTAACATAAATTGAGCATTGAGTGGCATTGTTTTGGATTTTCTGGCTGTAATTAACGTAGTAGCTTTGTTAAGTCCTCATGGTGGTTTCTGGGTGCAAGAATCACATGACCAGTTTATATGAGGAAGTTTGCCACCTGGTTCGCTGTGCCAGAGGACATGCAGAAGCTACATCTAAAAGCAATAGGAACCAATTAGGTTTTAAGGTGAAACAAGAGACATCAAGCTATCTCTTGTGATTTAGAAAAGAAATTTAATCTGTCAAAGTCCATTCCTATCTACCCTGACTCTCAAGGCTTTGCAGAAGCTCTTCAACTTGGAGGTTATACTGAGACCATGGTGCAGTTTGACTCATGGAAGGTCCTGGTAGAGTCAGTGGTACAACTGTACCGTTGTTCAACTGGTAGAGTAACTGGTACAATAACTTAGTACCAGTTAACAATGGCTACCAGGTCTCTAGCTGTTCTCTACGGTTTCCTGTTTGGTGAGATGTAGTGCTGTTGTCTCTGTGAAAATAATATTCCTCATATTAGACTGGGAGATTTCAAGCCATATCTAGTAGAGTGATCTGGCAAAGAGGTTTGGGGGCAGTCAGCACACGTTTGTGTGGGTAGAGATGTCTGGTGGGTGAACTGGATGGACTATGAAGAGAACGTACCTAGGGATAACAGTAGATGTCTTTTTTCTGGAAACAGTCTCCTCCCAGCTCCACAACCACTGTCCAGCTCTTCCTCTGAGCATGCTACGGATTGTTTTTAATTTTGTGGCTTCTGTGCGATTGTTTCCATGGTTTCTCTGAGTTTCCCGGATGAGTGACTTTAATGTGCTGCCTGGTTTGGGATATTTGGTCCAAAGAGACTAAGACACAGAAAGAGCCTGTGACAAATACCATGCAGAGTATGGCGTTGCTTATACATCAGCTCTCCTCATCTTGCCCACCCCCTTGTTCTCACATAAAATGAGGGAGAAAATGGAGAATTTAAATTTTCAAAGAAAAATCCATCTGATTCTGTTTTCCCTGGCCCAGGGGTTTTCCTTTCATTTCTTTCCATGAACCAGAAGCCTTTCTGCCGTTGGAAGAGCCCCTATAAGGCAGTTGTGTGGACCTCTCAGTATGGCCAGGGGCCATTTGTGGGATGAGAGAGAAGGTGGACCTGGAGATGGGGGTGCATTGTTTCATTACAGAGAACCACAAAGGCAGTCTCTCCAACTTCATACAACCTGTTGTCTCCCACCTTCCATTAAATTTTAAGTATTTCTAATCACACACTTTTTCAACTTCCTCTTAAATTATTTACCAATGCCAGGAAAAGATAATGGAGAATTTGAGCAGAGCTTTACTCTTCCGACTTCCCTGTGAATTAAAACAGGGTTAATCTTGACACTGTAGTGATACAACAAGAGATGAGAATCCTTCCTGTATTTCCACAGAGTACGGTACAATCCACAGCCCGTCAACACCTATTAAAGATTCAGATTCTGATCGATTGCGTCGAGGTTCAGATGGGAAGTCACGTGGACGGGGCCGAAGAAACAATAACCCTTCTCCTCCTCCGGATTCTGATCTTGAGGTATGTTATTGCCAACACCTAAGTAAATAGCAAGTGATATAGAAGCTAAATGCTGATTTTGTATACCTGCTGTGAGCAAGGTGTCCAAATGCTTTTGTTACTGCTTTCTGTTCCATATCAACATAAATAAGCCAATTTTTTTTCTTTTTTCCATATTAAAGGTAAAGCAACTATTTATTTCTGCTTTCTCTTCCACTTCATGTGGTAAAGCATTTATTTTTCCTCTTTAGTGAAACATCATAAATTATATCATTCTGCTTTAACAAAATTCTCTTGTACTGCTTTGTGTCATTGCTGTTAAATTAAGTGTTGTACTAAATGTGCTTCATAAAACTCACTTGGAAATTAAAGGCACACTGTGTATATTGGGGGGGGGGAGGGGAAACTAGAATGTTCTAAACAGAAATGGTTATCACCTTTTAAGACATGCTTTGGTGGAGTTCAAAGCAGGAGAGATTAAATAAAACTTTATAGGGTGATAGATTTTGTAACGTTGAATCCACTGATATTAACTTTCTTTTCATTGCCCAAGTGAAACTGATGGTAGAAAACATGATTCTTTTGGCCGAAAAGATGACAGATTACCAGCAGAACTTATGTGTGTGAATATGTGCTGATGTGAGTGGGCTTGGGAAGAAAAAAGCAAAATATGGAAGCCTTTGGTGATATCTCAAAGATCTTTTCGAAATGAGTTCCTCCAATAATTCAATTCTAAAAACCCCAAGAGTATGCCAAGAGCATGCGGGCTACGTCTACTTAAGTTATTAACTCTGAAATCTCAATAAAATCAGGCAGGAACAATATACCATCCACTTGATAACATCCCAGTAGGTAACACAAGGTGAAAGATGATGTAAAGTTTTAGTTTTTATATGCAATTGTTAGATACTTGGCTTATTAAGAATAAACCATAAGATTAGTTATTTTAACACTTCTTAATCCACAGTGATCAGAGGCAAAGAAAAAATCAACTGAATGATTTTTCATTGATTGCCCCTCTGTCTAAGAAGTTATAAACAGACTGTTTTAGCTTATTTTCCATGTCTTTAGAACTGAGAAGTGACTACAGAAGTAGAAAGAACATGTAGTCTTATTTCTTTCCTGTATTTTTGACAGTGTTGCTGATATGTTTATCCTCTTATATCTTATCTGAGGTTTTATCTGAGAAAAGCTAGGACATACACTTTGGAACATTTGTGTTTAAAAAATAATAAATTCAGATTTTTCATCTGTCTCCCATTTCAAGACTCCTTTCCATGTTGAACTTGTGAATAGCAGGTTTCTCAGCCAAGGGCAAGACACACTGATTTGGTGCTTCCTTTCTAGAGGGTATTCATCTGGGACTTGGACGAGACAATCATTGTTTTCCATTCCTTGCTCACTGGGTCCTATGCCAACAGATATGGGAGGGTAAGTACCAAGAGGCATCATTTGTTCATTTCTTTAGACTAAATCTGCCTAGAATTGGATTTTTTTATCCAAATGGAAATGTGGTTTAACTTTAAATAATATATTTGAAATACAAAAATGAAAGTAACTTGATTTATTGAAATAAATATATATTTTTAAGACAAAGCCATAAATGAACAGAAGGAGTTCTTTTAGGCTCTTAAGAAGATAAAGATCTCTCATAAAGATAAACTTTATGCAATTAAATTCATTCTTATTTCAGACCCCAATGAATAAAGGTGATCAGATGCTATTCTAGGGTGAAATAGTAGAATACATAGATGATATAGAAGGATCTTTTGTGTTGTGTTTTTTTTATTTGCCACATATTTTTATTCTCTTTATTCCCAACATATTCAGGGGAGCAGATAGTTCACTATATTGTCTTCCATGATTAGCAGTGTTAGTATTTTATTTTCAAAGCACTTATTATGAATGTCTTTATTAGTCCCTTTGCTGTGGAGCTAAAAATATGTGAATAGTTTGTAAAAATTTGGCCTCTGAATGAAAAAGGACCAATATGTCCAATTCTTAGTTGTTACAACACTTATCTTGGTGGTGTAGGTACAGAATAATTTTACAGATCACCTCCCATGAATATAATTTTAATTTCAGTGTTCTGCATTTGGGTTTCCCAAAACCTTGGAAATTCTTTTTGTTTCCTTGCTGGTTCCATAACTTTTTCTCATGCAAAAATCATGTTATTTAAAAGTGTTTTAAGTGAAATTATCCTGTGAATATGATATTTTTCATTTTTAATCATTAAAGAAATCCTATTACAAGTCTTACATCCTTGAAGCTTTTGGTTGGAAGTCTTAGGAACTGAATTTTTATGTGTTGGTGACTCCAGACGTTTCATTAACTGTTAAAATTGATGCTCATAAAATGGTAATGCTTTCATTACAGACTGCAGGAATTCATCCTTTCAATAAATCATATTTCAATAAATACATATTTAGTGCTTGATATGTAGGCATCTGGAGGTGAAAGTGGAGAAATGCTCATTGAGCTTCACAGTGCAGCCTTCCTTTCTCTAACCCTAAATATATACCTAATACAAAAAAAGGCGGGGGGGGGGGCGGTGCGGCGGTGCTGGAAAAATGCACATTTCTAAGAGCAAGAATATTCCACCATTTGAATGTCAGAAATATCTGTAAAACACAATATCCCCCAATTTATTGTTAAACAGATTTTCTATGAGAAGAAGATAATGAACAAAAACACAGATTATTTTAAAAATAAAGCTATTTTAAGTTTTCTAAGGAGCCTCCATAGTGTTCTCCATAGAGGTTGTATCAATTTACATTTCCAGCAGTGGAAGAGATTTTCCCTTCTCTCCACACCCTCTCCAGCATTTATAGTTTGTAGGTATTTTTGATGATGACCATTCTGTCCGGTGTGAGGTGACACCTCATTGTAATTTTGATGTGCATTTCTTTAATAATTAGTGATGTTGACCATCTCTTCACGTGCCTCTTGGCTATCTGTTTGCCTTCTTTGGAGAAATGTCTGTTTAGATCTTCTCGTTTTTTGACTGGATTGTCTGTTGTTTTGCTATTTAGTTGCATGAGATGTTTGTATACTTTGGAGATTAATCCTTTTTCAGTTGCTTCATTTGCAAGTATTTTCTCCCATTCTGAGGGCTGTCTTTTTGTTTTGTTTATGGTTTACTTTGCTGTGCAGAAGTCATAGAGTCAGTCATTCAGAATAAGTCTTTACTTTGTGGACAGCACATATTAAGGAGTCCAGAAATATTAGTTGTGTTATTTTTATTTATTATTTCTTTGATCAGTATTGTTACTATCCCTATTTATACCAAAACTGCTCCTTTAAAAGCCTGAAATATCAAAGTATAGTAATTAGGAAGAGTCTTGAAGATCATCTTAACTGAGCCATTTTAACGTCCCTACAACTAACTCCTGGAGGAAGAGAGCTGGCCCCTGGAACTCACAGAAAAGTGTTGAAAACCATCCAGGAAGTCTCAAGTCTTTAGAAAGCTTTGTCACTAGAGGCCAGCTTGATTAAGGAGAGTTGTCTTGATGTGTGTGCTCGGAGCCATTGAAAGGGGCCTGCTTAGAGGTGGTGAATATCCCCGACCTCCTGGCCTTGTGTCAGTCTCTGACCATAAATTACTGGTTTGCGCATGGAATTCATACCTAACACAGAAACCAATGGCAGCTTAGAATTTTTCACTTGGTTTCTTGACGATATCTAAGCCAAATATTATAAATATCATGAATTTTATTTTTACCAGTGTCAACTATTAGTATTTTAAGACTTCAACCCATAGTATTTTGTTTAGTTTTTTCATACAAGGATATGTGATGAAAAGCTTTATTTTCTATAATTTCCCAAAGCCAATTGTATGTATTCTTTCAAATACAGATGATTTGAGATGTTTAAACGTAAGGTCATCCTTTATGAGTTGATGGATGTTGAAGAGAGAGTAACTTCAGAAAGTCGGGTTGGGGAACGTCTTCCTGAGCATGATCCCTTGAGCCTGTGGTCAGAATGACCTAAAGAGTCCCGTGGATAATGTGCCCATCAGGAGAAAGAGTGTCATAAGCAGAGGAAACAGCAAGCACAGAGGCAGGAAAGGGTTTAATGTTTGAGAGACAAAGAGGACAGTGTTGCCGAGCTTAGTGAAAAGAGATGCACAGTCAAGAGAGAGATGTACTGGGATGAGGGCAAGTATGAAGCACCTCCCAGCCATAGTCAACAGAATTGATCTCATTTCACACACTGTAAGAAATCACTGGAAGTCTTCAAGGGGAGACATGAGATCTGATATAGTGTTTTAGATTCCTTTGGCTGTGTGTGGAGAATTAGTGGTAGGGAGAGAGGGGATGAGGAACAGAGAGGAGGTTTCAGGGTGATCAGATGCACTGGCAGTGAAGATGGAGAAATGATTGGATTATGGATTCTATTGCAGATAGAGAATTAGGATTTACTTGGACTGTGCTAGTGAGCAATAGGCAGTAGGAGATCAGATCATTTCCAGGGTTTTGTCCTGAGCAACTGGAAGAATTTTCATAAATTTCTTGAGATGGGGTAGAACTAATTTGTAGGGAAAATGGAAAATTCAGTGTTGTTCAAGTTTGAGTTGCCCATGAGACATCTGCTCAGACCAGGTAAGGTAACGCTTGGAAGGGGACCACAGGAGATGGTGGAGAGTGGTTGGGGCAGATGTCAGATTTAGAATGAACAGTACACAGCTCAGGATGAGAAGGTCCTCAGACACATTTAGCTCAATTTCTTCCCAAACCCCTTCTTTGAGCTGGGCACTGTCAGTCAACCTATCCTCTCATTGGTGGGACATGCCCCTTTCCTGACTTTTGAGGACTCCTTGCTAAGGAGGTTGACTTGTAGCCTAAGTCATGCAAGAAAGCTTGCTGTATGATCTCTTTATTGGAGAACTTTAGAATCTGATACTTTAGAATCTAAGATCTGATACTTGTGTTTTGTAAGAATGTGTGGTTCAGCAAGGATGCTTCCAAACAGTAATAATAACCAAACTGATCAGGACTTCAGTTTAGTTCAGTTCAGTCGCTCAATCATGTCTGGCTCTTTGCGACTCTGTGGACTGCAGCACACCAGGCTTCCCTGTCCATCACCAACTCCCAGAGCTTACTCAAACTCATGTGCATCGAGTCAGTGATACCATCTAACCATCTCATCCTCTGTCATCCCTTTGTCCTCCCACCTTCAGTCTTTCTCAACATCAGGGTTTTTTCCAGTGAGTCAGTTCTTTGCATCAGGTGGCCACAGTATTGGAGTTTCAGCTTCAGCATCAGTCCTCCTGATGAATATTCAGGACTGATTTCCTTTAGGATGAACTGTTTGGATCTCCTTGCAATCCAAGGGACTCTCAAGAGTCTTCTCCAACACCACATTTTTGGGGGCTCCAGAAATCACTGCATATGGTGACTGCAGCCTTGAAATTAAGATACTTGCTCCTTGGAAGAAAAGCTATGACCAACCTAGACAGCATATTAAAAAGCAGAGACGTTACTTTGCCAACGAAGGTCCGTCTAGTCAAAGCTATGGTTTTCCAGTAGTCATGTATGGACACGAGAGTTGGACCGTAAAGATAGCTGAGCGCCAAAGAATTGATGCTTTTGATCATTACTTGCATCTTTGTTTTCTACTTGGGATGCAGGAGAGAAGTCTCAGCACAGTTAATGGGCAAGCCACCTCTCTTACAGCACAGGTTCCGGGATGTTACTGGGCTTTGTCAAGGGGGCATGTGGCTGGGCCTTACTCTGCAAGCATGTAAAACAGTGAATGCCTGACAATGTGATTGCTGTTCCGTCTCTATGGGAACCAGATACTTGAGAAGTAGCTTAGTCACAGTAGCTTAGACTGCTCGATGAGTAGGCCATTCAGTAAAGGGATACAGGATCTGGTTGATATAATGCAAAATTAGGGCATGTTACAGCAATATGTACCAAAAAAACTTTGAGAATGTCTCACCTTCCATGTAATCCTAGCTGTGGGAAGCAGGCCTGCTGGGTGTTATAAGGAAGTGCTGTTTTATAACAAAGGTGATCGGAACAAAAAGAAAGTACTGGGTACAGTTCAGGTTTTAGGGAAGAGAAAAGAAACAGCATATTAAAAGGAAAATGAAGTCTATGGATGTTAATGTAAATTAGGTTGTTGTTCCTAATTTCTGTCCTAGCATCTTTTAAAGTTGCTTTCAAACCAAATCCAAATTGCCTAATTTTACTGAAGAAAACGAGCCTTGCTTTTTTTCGTTGAATGGTCTCTTTAAAGTAGACAAGGTAGTAATATAGTTGTTGACATCAAAGCACAGACACCAGATTTATATTTAAAATAAGCATTGTACTGATGTCCCAAGCATGAATCCCTTCTTGGGGGAGGACTTCTCAAGATAGCCAGTATCTTGATTGTTTTAATACTTTCTTTTTATTGTTGCTTTAACACCTGTGTCTCATACAGAT